TCTCTCTCTCACACACACACACACACACACACACACACACACACACACACACGCACACACACACACACCGGCCCTGCCACGAACGCCTCCTGGATCTGTGCCCTTTATCGTAGTGCTTTCGTCCACGCAGCCTCCGGCCTATGCGGACGTGGAATCGTGGATGTTGCGCCAAGAGGACGCCCATGTTTGCGCCCAGTCGGCCCTGTGCCTGGCCCGGCTCCCGTGGCGAGGGGAAATGAAGATGGTTGTTGGAGCACCGCTGCGGAAGGCACATTGCCAGCATTTGGCTGCTGCCCGTGAGTGGGCGTTGCATGGCCACTGCTCTCGACCGCTGCTCGAGGAGGATTGTGAGTGTCATCATCCGCCACGTGTCCTCCGCCGCAATTTTCATAGCGGCCAAATTCCTGACTTGTGTCAGCTTCCCCCCCCCCTCCCCCCGCGTCGTCGTTCTCCCGCTCATGATCTGCTCGCCGATCAGCGGCCACCCCAAACCCCACCCCACTCTCCCAGAAGCCCCCCAGGATGTGTAGGTGATGTCTGGCGTGGACGAAGAACGGCTCAGTAAGGAGAATGGAAGATGTGACTGGCAGATGCCTGACAACAAGCGAGCCCTCATCCAAGCCGATCTCCTGAGCACAGGGTTCAGACGACAAACCCGAACAATCTTTCCCGCGTCCCCTTCTGCATGGTTCGCAAGGTGTGCCTTCCACGAAGGCGATCCACAAACGGATTGGCCAGATGCAGCAATCTAATGCCTTGCAGCAAGACCGGCGCCGATCACCGTCAATGCCCTCCCTCCAACCCTGGTCGGCTGGAGTCTATGCACACCTCGGGCCAGAGTGCGGGCGATGGATGGCATGCGCTGCATTGCTATCCTTGCTATGGCGTTGGCATCGATGATAATGCCCGACATTCCGTCTACGTGCATGCCTCATGCAGACGAGGGGCTCATGGACAGAGTGCGTGTTCGTTTGGGCCGTGCATGGCTGCCCCTTGCATTACGTTCGTAGAATTTTCGCCTATTTTTTTTTTTCACCTCCCAGGCTCCCAGCCTTTTCAAATTTCGAAATGTCCACCGCGGACCGAAAATTCAAAAACGCGGGTGGGCCTGTCGTGAGACACGACGGGGAAGCCCAGGACCGCTTCATTTCCTGTGTGACAGCGGATGCATGTCCGCCCTCTGCCCAGGACCACTCCACCGGACATTTCACAGGTACGGCCACCTCCATGCACGCAGCTCTCCGTTGGCTACGGAAGGGGTGCCCCCCCCCTTACCCTTCCGTAGCCGACGGAATTCCTGGTTGGCCGGGGGTATGAACGGGCCGCGGGGGGAGTGGAAACACTTCCCCTCGAATTCCAGAAACCGCCGCACACGTCTGTGGGATTGCACGGACCACATCTTGGAATTCCAAAATGTTACTGCGCTGCTGTGGAGTCCCTCCCTACAAAAGGAGACAAACCTCAGTGGGCAAGAAAACACAATTGCTTGCGTACTACAGTCCGAAAAATATAAAGGTCCCCATCTGCTATCAGCTGTGACCACGCAGATGCAGGTAGAGCAATTTTCAGTGCCATTCAAAAGGGCCACCGTGTGTGAGTATGCCTCACACCTAATTGTCAAAATTGCAGATTTTGCAATTTAACCTGTGTGTGTGAGTATGATGACACCTGATTTGGGGCCTGGCTCCACTACTCTAGAATATAGACTTCGTGAGTGACGCCTCGCTCCATTTACTCTAGACACCAACTCACGAAAACACACTTGAAGGTCTGACAGAAAGCACTCTTAATATCAGAAAGCACTCTCTAGGGCACTCACGAAGCATCTAGAGTTTGCAGTCTGCAACACTTTGGATTTCTAATGGGCTGGCACTGTCTCATAGCACACTAGAAATGAAAGAAAAACGCTCACGAAATTTGGGAGTGCGTCTAGAGTGTGGCCATATAAAGAAAGTGGAGAGAGGCTTCTTCTTTTGAGAGCATTAAGGGTCTGGCAGTTCAGTCACGATTTTTTTCACCAGTCTAGAGTAGTGGAGAGAGGCCCTTGCTCTACCCTAGACTATGACCACACAACATCAACTCTAGAAACTTTTTTCGAGTCTAGAGTAGTGGAGGTAGACCCAATTTCTATCCAAGCTACTTTGCCCGGAGTGGGGTCCAAGCCTAGAGTAGTGCCGCCAACCTGCTTTTCCACCCACCGGCCAGTGGGGTCCAAGCCTAAGGGTCTCGCTCCACTACTCTAAAATCTCAAAGATTTTCGAGAGAGAGTCTAGAGCTGTCAGAGTCTCGAAAAGACCGAAAAAGCCAACATAGCTCCACTTACTCTAGATGATTGAACTAAGAAGGCCTCTCGGATGTCAGACGGCTTTACATAGCTCCACTTTCTCTAGATAGTCGAACTCAAGAAGGCCTCTCGGATGTCAGACGGCTTTTCACTCCACTTGCTCTATATGGTAGAACTCAAGAAGGCCTCTCGGATGTCAGACCGCTTTTTTAGAGAGCTACACGACGCCGCCAGCACGTGTTATTGGCCCAGACTCCAGGTGCACTCTAAAAAAAGTGCTCAACTTTCTAAGGTCCTGATGCCTCCCTTGAAATTCCCGCTGCTGCAGGCGGGCGCTATTGAACCCTCAAGAGTGCCACAGGAGAGGTGGTTCTGACAACTCGAGAAAAGCATTTTCGTGAGTGCATTTCAAGAGCTAGTGGAGCAAGGATGGATTCTCTTCATTTTCGTGAGTGCAGACTGACAGCTTAGGAACCCTATTTCTAGACCTTGTGTCTAGAGTGAGCGGAGCGGTGCCGCGCTCAAGAAATGGTCTGTATACTGTCTGTTTCTAGAGTAGTGGAGGGAGACCCTAAGCCTTTGAGTGACAGTTCTCAGAGACAAGCTTTGGCTTTCGAAAAATCTGAGAGGGCAGTCTGGAGAGAGCAGACAACAAAGAAGAGCGGACACGTGGCTCAACCTATTCTCCATGTGAAAGCACCCAAACAAAAAGACTCTCAGCACATGCTCACACTAGGACTTTTTTATTTATTTCGGTACTGAAGCATGGCAGATGCATTCAGGTGGGGCAGCAATGCGGTCACTTTTTTAGTTATTTCGGGACATTTAAGAGATTGCTAATGTGAGTGAGCCCTTAGGGCGTGAGTATGCCCTCACTGACGACAAGGTCTTGTTGCAGTGGAGCCACAGCTGTTGCAGAGTAGAGAGAGAGAGAGAGAGAGAGAGAGAGATGAATCGCGGGCATTTATGTGTATGTGGGCGCTCTTTTGTGTGTGTGTAAAAGAGAGAGAGAGAGAGTCGTCATGTGTGTGTGCGTGCGTGTGTGTGTGTGTGTGTGTGTGTGTGTGTGTGTGTGTGTGTGTGTGTGTGAGAGAGAGAGAGAGAGAGTTGCAGGCATGTTTGTGTGTGCGTGAACGGGTTCGCATGTGTGAATTTGGGGAGGGGGCGTTGTCAAAGGCGCGAAATCGCATGT